CAAGACTACATATCTTGGCTTGTTATTTACATTCATGCAGTATATTCAACAAGTTACTCATTCATTCATAGATCGCCTCCACACAGTCATCTACCCACACTCATTTTTCATTCGTTATTTTTTTCGCTTTACATCAGTAGATTCTGTTTTTATTTTTATTTGTATCTCTCTCGTCATCGGCGTCACTTAAACTTGACCTTTATTTCATTTATTGCTTATTATTGCATACTGGCTTAGTAATTTCATTGTGGATCCAGTTGTTTCTGGTTGTTCTGGCTTGGGTTACATCTTTGGGGTTTGGTTTATCTCTCAAAGTCTCTAAATTTGAATAACTTTGAAAACCAGCTACACCTCAGTTCTTAGGAATTCTTAAACCCACATGGATCTCTATCTGAATATGGCATACAGCTGGCTACCGTCTATATCTATATCTCGGCTGTTTTTGGAGGTGTTGTTCTGTTCTGGTAATTTCCTCCAAGTCCGCTGCTATTACAAAACATTATCATAGAGAGCAAAAAAATAATCTTTCTTCTGCTGTGCGGGATGTCTGTTTCCCTGTTTGGGTTTCCACAGTTGTAGCCACTCATTAAATATGCACTAGCTGGCATATGGAATTGCGCATAAATCAGAAACCTGGGCTCGGTTCTCAGATATTATGGTCATTGGTGTATAGTGTGATGTATGAGCGGGCGATTAGTTTAGTTCTTTAATGATTCATTGGCGAGTGTTGGAAAATTGATTGCCGCGACGCTGGTGATGCTAATAAAGAAATGGAATCGATGAAGTCCGACTCTTTGTTAGAGACGACATCACAAAAGAGGTGTCTCAGAACATAGACAATGGAAACATTCCATCGGAACACCATAAAAAAAAAACAAAGAAACATTCCTAATCCCAGCTTAAACTTGGCGTTAAAACATTATAAATACCAGTTGTTTCTACGGTCTAGTGTCTGGTCGGTCTAGGGAGTTCTTAAGTCTCTAAAACCAGTTTTCGACTATCAAAATTAACACAAACGATGGATGCTGGGGGATGTTGGAAACAAAAAACTTGCATTCTTCGGAAATCTCTGAAATGGAAAACGAAACACCAATTTCGGAATGCAACCGATCGGGGGAGAGACCTGACTGGTTTTTCCGAGCGGCCATTCGCACCTTTGATGTTGGTTTTTCGAATGCGCCCCAACTCAAATAGAAGAAAAGGTGCCTTGTCCATCCCAATCCCAATAATGTCTATGAGAATTTGATTTCTTATAATCGAATTCATGGAATTTTTTCCCAACTTTAGGCGCGGCCTGGCCCACCGAATGATCAATCAAGTGCAGCATCAGAGCAGAGGCAGATGAATACCTAATGAGTGTATGGGGCTTTGGGTATGGGTATGGGTTGACTCACAAACACACCCATATATCCGTATACCCACGATGTTGTTTCAAACTGGTTTAATTGATTCAAATGAAGACTACGACGACGACGACGGTTGCGATGATGTTGAATGACGTTTGTCCGTCCGGCTTAGGCTTTAGCTTTTTGTTTGCCTCTTTATACCGATTTCAGTAATATGTAAATCGATGCATGATAATCCGACAACCCCTCTGGCCCTTCCCCTCCTACTGTCAAAATAGAAAACTTGCCAATCACATGCAACAATTGTTGGCTGCTGGCTGGCTGGCTGGCGTGTCATGCAACGTTTTGTGTTCACCCTTTTGTGGCCGATGCACTCGACAACTCGGTGTTTGTGTTGTTGTTGTGTGTTTGTGTTTATAATTGTCTCAGATGTAACCGCCAGTAGCCGCCCCTCCCACACTGCACCACAGTGCCGCCTCTGTTTGCCGATCACTTGTCAGTCAGGGGCGTTCGGTGCCCCTCGCGATGACGAACTTAACAATTGAAGGGTATCCACCTGTTTGAACTCTTGTAGGGTTTCTATTTTTATGGGAAATACTTCAATCTAGTGATTAAATTTAAATATAAAATGTATATTATTTCAAAATAATTATAGGTCTCTCAAAGTCACTAATCTGGGGTCATGATCTGAAATACGTAGACATCATCACCCAGTTGAGAACATTAGTTGAGAACCTGATCTATTTTCAATTAGAATCTAAAGGCCAACAATAGTTAATCTTTCAAGACTCCAAGGGTCTTTCTTTCTCATCCATTAAAGAATGATTATAGAACCTTGAACTCTTGAACCCCTTTTGTCAACAAAAGACCCAAAGTAAGAGCATTAGGGACTCTTGTATGCCCCGATGGAGGCATACCCTACTTAATGCTCTCATTTGCTCATTTGTTTCTGCGGTCAAAGTTGACTGACAGTCGCCCCTGTGAATGTCAATTGCGACTGCCCTTCTGACTCTGTCTGTTGTTTTCCATTCAATTATTAAAATTAGCCCGCCAAGCTAATTGCTGGGAGATGCAGTTCGAGAGACTCATAGGTCTGTGTCGCATGAGAGACAGATTTTAAGATTTGATCGAGGGTTCGTCTAATCTTTTCACCAAAATAGAATAGAGCTCAGGTAGCTCAGGTTATTGTTTGGGAATGCATTAAGATATTACGAAAACACCCTCATAACTCCGAGGTAGGGACGGAAGTCGGTCCCCGACCCGGTCATAAATACGTAATCTTTATGGACAGAGTGGGAATCAAAGAAGTTGACTTGTTTATGCCTCCTCGCTCTCCTCCTGTACTAATTACTTGTCTTCCCTTACTTGCCGGACAAGATCAGGATAAGATCGTCTGTTTTGAGAGCCAGACGTGTAAATGCCACAAAATCCTGTCCAATACCATTCAAATGGTACGCCAGGTAGAGAGGGGCTCCCAGCAAGGAGCCTTCCAGCCAAGTCATGAGCAGCGAAGCCACTAAATAAAATCATTAAAAATAATGAACGCACTTCCGTTGCAATTGTCGGGGTCTTAGAACTTTACACAACATTAAAATGAGGCAGCCACAACAGGGAGACGACGATGCACCGAGTGCCGCGCACAAATTAAAAGGTAGAAATGCTCCCTCCTCACAAAATCGAGGTGGAAGAGGTGGTCGAATACCTTTCGTTGTCGAACTCGTTGCTGGTTTTCGTGAGTCGGCCTGGCACGGCAGGCAATTGCAATTACATATGTAAGATTGTTCTCAGATGCCGCCGTCGACCGAAAGGAAAACTATGTGGGGGCATTGGTGGAACGGAAATAAAACTCCCTCCTCTACCCTCCGCCCTGTGCCGGCTGGTAACTTGATTGTGGGGGCTGGACGACACATATAAATTATCAACGATGCAGAGCCCAGAACCGGAGCCTCAGACCAGAGACCTCAATGCCTTGGTTTTGGTCTCTGGCCATGTTCGCTAGTTATGCATAGATACAGATACTGAGATACTGGATCTGAAATGCAGGTACAGCCTACGCTGAATGGAGCTCATCGTTTATGCAATTGGTTTACGATCCAGATATCTTATGGTTTATTATTATAATCGATGTGGAAGGCCCAAAGTGTGATATTAGAACACTGAGAAAAAGGCGAGTTTCTCAAGGTTGGGCCTACATCATTATTCATATAGGCGTGTTTAAGAATTTATATATTTATTTATTAAATTCCAATTAACCTTTGGTCACAGCCTTTCTACGGCCAACTCCATCAGTCACACTCCATGATTGATGGAGTATCGACGTGGTTCTAGGTGAACTCTTATGTTAATTGATTGTAGAATTAATATTTAAATGCCCGCCGAGTCAACCTTTAAGACTGTTGAATGACCGTTGAATGTCGGAAGGAACCTGGAAGCTATCCAAGATTAACAGTCGGAGCGCCGCGGGGCACAAGATTCCCGAGTGGCATCATTATATTTGACCCAATTGTGCCGCCGCAGTGACACATTTCTGGTGGCAAAGATCAATTCGGGCTGCCCCTTTGGAAATGGTCCACTGCCGGTTCCACTGCGATTGGTTTCGCTGGAAAGGCATCCGATATGTGGAAGTGTGGCGCGGTTCAGTTGTACCTGGTCGTTTGTTTACTCAACTGTTGAAACAGTGGCAAAGTGCGGAATCATGTTGCGGCATTGTTTGGCCGGGCTTTTCTAGTTTGTTTTTTTCTGTTTGTGCTTTATTAGCCGCCGCACTCTTTTTCGCTTGTATTTACCCAATGACGACTGAATGGCGCTATGGCCAAAAGCTGAAGCTGTAGCCAAGAGGAGAAACAAGGTCAGGCCCAGAACTTTCCACCAAAAAAAAAGAAACAAGAATCTGTGGGGAACAACCAAACAATTAGTCAGGGAGGGGCCTTGGCAATTTGTATCTGTAACCGGGAGATATGCGCGCTTTTTCACACTACTCTTCTGGGTTAACGTCAACGTTAACCCGCTTGCCAAGCTCACCAGGCTCTCCAAGCCAATTACCCCGCCCCATAACCCAACATGAATATCGCTTAAAAACAGAATAAAAGTGCCTCGACAATTGCTTGATTTCATGACTAAAAGACACAGAATATATACATATATAAAAAAAGATACAGCTGGAGAAAGAGGAGGAAACCGAAACACCAACCTACATAGAGTATCTCTCCCATGTATCTGTATCTGTATCTGCTGGTGTATCTTGGAGTGACGCATCTGCGTTCCCCCGAATGAAATTTCGTTGTAAAACTGCAGCTTGGATCCAAAAGAGCCTCTTGGCTCTTGATTGCTTTTGATTGGCTTTTGTTTCGCCTTTTCTCTCGCATTGTGCAAGTTTTGATTTCGCCTCGCGTTTTGATTTGATTCCGATTTGTGTCTGGGCGAGTGTTTATTTTCATTTTCAATAAATCCCCACCATAATTGCACTCTGGGGGGGATCTTAAGGCCCCACCAATCGTAGTCTTTATGTGAAAGCTGGCGTCAAATTATCTCATTTTACGAGGCGTGTGAACACCCAGTTTTGATCTTCACATTTTCCCAATTGATATATTTTCATTGTATCTTTTGTTGTTTCAAATATTTTAATAGTTTTTATTGCTTTTGTTTTTTTTACAGGCCACCAAACACACCTTAAACACGTGGAAGTTTTCAGGTAACTATTAGGAGAAATGCAAAAAGCTTACCTTAATTTAGCACCCGACCCACTAAAGTGGTTCGAACACACTATTCATAACTCGGAACTGAGATGTGCCATTAAAGCCGGCGAGGCACGCAAACTTTCGCACGGCTCACTGCTCGCATTGAGAACCATTCAGAGAACCTTAAATATGGGTCAATTACCCATAGTGTGTGCTAGTCGGTGGAAAAACAAATTTCTTACATAACTGTTGACGTAGTACAATTTAGTGGCCATAAAATAGCCAATGGATGCATAACCTACCCAGTAGGCAGAAGAGGATCTATTAAGTATATGATCATATAACTACAGAATAATGCATAAAGTTTTAAATTTAAGAGCCTCTCAAATCAGAGTTCCATCTTTTATGGTATAATACAGCTATCCTTATGTTTTTATTAGTCTTGAGTATAAAAATTATACTAACTCCTCCTTAGGACTTGCTCTATCAAGCTCTCAAGTCAGAGAACCATCTCTCGATGTATAATACTCCCATTCCTAGGTATTTCTTAGTCTTGAGAATAATAACATACTAGCCTTACTGGACCTAGACCTAGGCTTTAGTTCTAATTGCCGCTAGTCATACTAGCTAGTAGTATTCTCATACAGAGCCCAGGGGATATGCGGACTAACTGTTGACTGGCAGTTAAATGCTAATTTGCGGAGCTGACTGACGACTGACCGTTGTTTTACTTGGCCGGCCGGTCTTGGATGTTTACTGGCTTTCAGCACTTTGGTTGCTCGTTTTAATTACACACGGAGACCGGAGACCCATTTGCCAGTTGGCCCTTTTTAGCCAGGTTAGCAATCAAGTGGCTTTTTCTGAACTTATTTTTGCTGTATCGATTGCGATTCCACGCACCTGAAATGGGGTCGTGAGAGAACAACGATCTGTATCTGATCTGTACCAGTTTCAGTTCGCTTTTTGCTCCACTTTGCCTGATCGATTCAGGCTGATATTGAATTGATCCTGATCTCTGTTAGGTCATATTTTAAGCATCCGTAGAGGACATCCGCTGGGGCTCAGAGCTTCATGCTCGAGTGGCTGTTTAATATTGCATTAGACTCTAATGATTAGAGAGATGTCGCCGCTTATAACAATGTGATTTTGTCAGCGGAAATGGCTGCTCACATGCAACCGAAAATAATTTGCTTAGATCATAGATTTTCGTAATTTTTAGATACTTTGGCAACGTATCTAATGAACTGTCATTCGCAATAACCTTCAATTGCACAGTTTCCCGCTCCGATCTATCGCAATTAGATTTGCAGTGACCTGCTGCGGCTCCTTAATGCCCAACCTGGTTTGATTAATCGCCTCTAATCGCATCAAATAAAATCAAGTTTAAGCTACAAGCTGTGTCGTTACGTAATCCCGGTGAACTCTGAACTTGAACAGGCAAACAAATAAACAAACAATACGCATTGCCAGCCCCGCCAAAATGTTGAAACGACAAATCTGAATACATTTTCGCTCGTATGCAAATCTGAATTGTTCAACAAAGTTAACAAAGATATGGGGAATGACAAAATATGGGGTAATAAATCAGGTAAGCAATGTTCAGGCATTGATGACGAGTATTTTAATTTGAATATGAGTGTCCATAAAACACACACTGATATTTGTTTAGCCTGAATGACTGCGAATAGTTGCATCAATAATGGTTTATGTCTCAGAAGTATGCGAAATATTTGCGTATTTTTATGGGCAGGTGTGTTTTTGAAGTTTAGCCATAAAGATATTCTTCTTCGCAGAACTTGTGAGCCATTCCACTTTCCCCGGCTATGTATTCTTTTCGGATCATTTCACTTTTCACTCCTCATCTCGGCCAGAATCTGGAAGATGGAGTAAAAGTTTTTTTGGCTTAATTTTCACTTACGTTTTGCATTAAATTTTATGTCTCTGGACATGGCTCGGACATGGCTCGGCCGATATGTTTCTGAGTTTGGATTTCACCTGGCCGAGGCACGTAGCCGGCCTGGTCCGGCCAGATAGACATTTGACATGTCAGGTTGTCACAGCTTTCGGGCACACAGTGAGAGCGATTTCTGGCCACAAACAAATTCTTGCAGTAAAAGTAAATACAAATTTGTGAAGAGAAACTAGCTCAAGTTCAGACAGCAGGAGGCAAATTGTTTTGGCACATGCCAAAATGTGGCCCAGACCTGACCAACTTCTGCTTGGAGCCCCAGACCTGTCTGGATATGCGGACAAGATAAAAATAAAACCATTATAAATTCATTAAGCCAACAAAAAATAAAAATCTCTGATAATTACGGTGGGGTGCTGGGGGAGGAGGGCTTTTACAATTTCGTGAAATGTGCGTCAGCAGAAAATGTTTCGTTTGATCTGGAGATCTGCAGATGTGGAGATCTGGAGAACAAACTAGCCAAACCACAATGATGCCAAAAAAATAGCCCCCCAGGTGATAAGTTCATTTATTTATCTGTTATTCTTGTGCTGTTTTCCTTTTAATATTATCGGACGCGTGCTTCTTGATTTTTGTGTTAATTTGTAATAATTAATTTGAGAATGTGCAGAAGCCGCAAAAAAACCAAGGGGTCTAATATGAATTATTTATGAATACGGGAATAACCAAAGAAATCACAGACTTCAAAGATTTCTGAGAAAAAAGTAAAGTGAATGGGTAGGGGTGCCATTATAATTAATTATTGAAAGATATTGTTTGTAGTTTTTATATAATTTTGCATATATGTACATTGGGGGAACTTTTAATTGAAATTATTTTTGTATTGATGACTTTATAGGTTCTTCGGGCTTATAGATTGGTTGGAATCGTTTCGGTTGCGGTGGGTGAACAATTACTTAGCCATACGAGTGGGGCAACTTTTGGCATTCCTCGCTGTCAGCCAAACACGGAAGATGCCACCGCAAAAATGTTGCGTGTGCACCGTACTGGGTTTGTGTGCTTCAAATTGCATTCAAAATGCAACAATACGAATCTGTCTAATATCAGCAAATCGCTTGTCACGGAGGTCCATTTAATCGGTTTAATGGTTGGAACGGAATGGATCGGAGCGGGCCATCTAAATATAAAATCTTGCATTAAAATTATTAAAACAATTTCAAAGTTCAGTTTGTTATTGTCCTATCATTATATCATTTTTAATTTCTTATCTATAAATATCTTGGCTTGTAATTGGCAATTTTCTGTAGTTTGCGATTGCTGATATATAGTGTCGGATTTATTATCTCTGAACATGCATGACCCTGCCCACACTGTAATATTTTATTAAGTAATCGCCTAATAATGGCTTGGCATAAGCTAAGTAATAAGTTCAGGTTGCAGGTCATATGAGAAAGTCTTCTAGAAAATAAAAAATAAAAGCCTGAGGGACTGACAAGTATTGACTTTTGATTTCTAATTGTTTTCTGAACTTCGTGGAAAAGATTCCCATTATTTTTCACAAACCCATTTGCACAATTAACACCCTACCGTAACTCACAACATCCCAAATTTAATTTATTAACCTCATGAATGAAATGGAGTGATTTTTGTTTTAGCACTGTGCTAAAAAATGGCAATTCACTTTATTATAATTTAATCCATTTTCGATACACTGTCTTGTGCTTTTAAAGCCTACATTTTTTTTTTATTTTGTAAACATATTTGGCAATTTTTCCTTCAAATTAATTTCATGCACATTCGTTTTGCTTGGTACCTGGTATTATTTTTTCTTGCGTTTATTTATTTATTTATTAGTTTTCGTTATTCGTTATTGAAATGGCAATTTCAAGTGGAATTTGTAAGCGATTTGAACGTTAATTGAAATTCAATTCAGGTCCTAAGAGAGCTTCAGACGAGTTTGCGCCAATTACGATGCACATTCATTTTTGTGCGATGCATTCAAATATTTGTTTATTGTTTTCAATAAAAGATGCCACAATGGCATCAATAACAGAGCTTCCCTGCATATGTTTTCAGACAATTTTGAATTATGAATCCTTTTTTTTTTAGCAAAAAATGGCAGACTTGTTGAACTTCTTTTGAATTAAGTTGGCCATCAATCAATGGCCATATTCGACCCGCAGAACCCTTCCCTTTGGAGCAAGGTTTCAATGGCCACCATGCGGTTTTGCCAGATGAATGCATTTATTAGCCGGGCCCAAAGACCTGGCAGAAAGGCAAACACAAAAAATACCTCAAATGGTATATTTTTTGGCAGCTGGCCTGGCCGGCAAGCGCATAAAAAATTTAAACACAAAACAGCCAAGCAAAATGCAGAGTTTTTTCCACAAAAATTTTCTCACGTAACAAGTACACCCGTCAGACATGGAGCGGGAAAAACTTCAAGCAATTTACCACAAGAGTGTGTGTTTGTGGCATGCAACTTGTTGTTGGCCAATTTTTTGGCGTCTGCGCAATCCATAAGAGGGCATTAAAGCTGCTGCTTTGGTTGCTGCTGTTGGCCAGGCCGATTCTAAATATCAGGCAAGGCAAAGCGATTGCAAGTAGCTACCAAAAACAAAAACAAAAACAACCTTGGCTAATGGCCAGTCAACGGCAACTGACATGGGCGATATCGGCCAGAGAGTCTTGGCCAAAAGCTGGGCTCAATGGCTCACTGGCCTTTTCCTTTCACACGCAAAAAAAATAAGACACTTTTAATTGATTTGTTAAATAAAATAAATTATAAATAAATACTTAATATATTAATTTTAAATAAATATTTATAAATAAATTTTTTTGGGGAATAATATTTCCATAAAAATATAGTTTTCTCTGCATCTTCCTGCATATGTGCCTGTAATTTGCTAACCTGGCCTGTCCTACCCAGGAGGCGTATGACTAAGCCCTGCTTATCTTGGCCAAGAATTTGACTCTTGCTCTTTCTGTACTGGCCAGGCATTATGTGTTGGTATGTTAGTGGAAAATTTTCACACGAAATTCAACAAATGCCCGTTAATTGCTTGACAAAATAAAGCCTTTTTTCGCGAATAAAAGGCCGAACAA